GCTGTGTGAAAAAGTTCCACGTTTTCTTTTTTTTTCCCTTTTCCATTTCCTGTAATTCAGTGTGAAAAGGGTTCACCATTTTCCCATTCCTCCCCCCTCCCCCCCCACCCCTCTCTCTCACCTTTCTTGCCTCCTGAAGTTGGCTTTTTTCCATCGCATATTTTACGCGCTTATTTTATTATCGCTCTCGTCGTCAACCGAGATCACCTAGTTTAATTGTTTCCACTGATTGTTGCTATTTACTGCACGCTGGCCATACTATTTTATACCCTCACTGATTGATTGAGTCATCTTGCCGCAGTCTCTCTAGTAACTGTAAATCCTCTAATTAAACGCACCCTTTCTTGATCGAGTGGCCTGCTCTTTTGTACCTCTCCATAAATTTGAAGGCGAGGGCACAAACAACTGTAACACAAGGAAAGGCATCCTACGGTCTTGCCACACCACTCAAGAAAATTGAAACAGAAAAAAAAAATGGCGGGTGTATTGTTCCACATTCTATGGGAAGATGCATGCTCCATTTTGCACATTTTGTGAGTAGTCCCGCCAGGCCCCTACTCTGCTGGGAGTCAGATTTGTGTCATCAGAATAGCCCCATTTCCATTTACATCCCAGACACTTTATGGACAGACAGAGATAGAAACTGTTAATGTCCTCGCCGCACTGCTCACGGAATGTGCAAAATGGAGAAAGAATCTTCGGCTAGAAAGTGGAGAGTTACACCCGCCATAGTTTTTGGGGCTTGTTAGACACTTCTTGGGGCGTCCTCCGGGCTGAAGGAAGTTTCCTTCGGGGTTTTGAAGGAAATTCCTGCTGTCGTTCCACCTATCCTTGGGTTGGTCTCCCAAGGATGATTCCTTTTGGCCCCCGACGACCATTTTCATAATATTATAGTCGTCCGCGGTGGGGGCAATGCCTTGCTCCATTGGGTGATGTCCATCTTGCTACGGTGTGGTCCAGCTGCCGAAGGAGGGAAATTTTGAAAGGTGCTGGCGACGGGGAAAAAAAAACTTAAAAAAGTGATGGACCTCCCCATTTGAAAATCAAATTTCAAATTGTGTGCTGGACGTCATGATGGCAATGCGGGGCAGGTGGCGTCCATATTGGTGACGGTGGAAACGGGCATTTGCAGTGGCGCAGTGGAGCCCTTGTAAGTCGTCACAGATTTATGAGCGCCCCGCGAAGGTCCATCGCCATCGCCTCCTCCTGGTGCCACGCGTATGTGTGGAGGTGGAGTAGAGCACACATGGGGAACGTTGTCGGCGACTTGGTGCTGAGGTTATTGTTGTCGTGGCGAGGTGGTAGGCTGTTGTGTTTTTGTGGTTCATGAGCATTGCTACACACGTGCCGATGAAGGGCGGCAGCGACGACGGACATGCGAAGTTGACGACGATAGAGAAGACGGGCGTGGTGGCGGCCGTGACAGCCGTGCTCTTTCGTTGTCAGCAGGAGAGGGCATTGGGCAGAATGAGAGCGGAGATCTGCGCGCGGAGAAGGAAGACGCTTCATCAAATCCGGGTCGGAAGGGCTGGATACTGTGGCCATCACCGAGGCTGTAGTTCAGGTTTGCTGCGCCATGGGTTGCAGTGTTCTTCCACGAGTGGCGCCGAGGTGGTGGATGAAAAGGAAGGGGGGGGGGCATGGGCGGATCTCAGGCAATGCGATGATGCGACGGAGGAGTACTTCTGGGATAAGCTGCATATGTCGCCACGTGTCTTTCGGGCGATGGCGATTGTATCCAGTGTGGACGAACGCCTGCGGGACTCACCTGCAATGTCGATGTCAACTGCAGTCGGTGTCGATCCCTCGTCTTCTCTGCTGGAGGCCTTCGATAGAGGTCAGCCATCAACAATAGAGGATCCACACATGGAACAAGAGGACCACGACAAGCAAAAGTGCAACTAGGAGCAGCTTGGCAACCTTCAATAGAGGTCGGCCATCAACGACACGTACGACAGGGCCGTAATTCCATGACGACGGTGAAGGTCCACCGAATGGCGACGATGAAGGGAGCAGACGGTAGAGGATAGCATACGACACACGCACTCTAACGGCCCTTGCACGGCGAGCCGGGATGTGGCCTGCACGGTGGCTCGTGGAGTGGTCCACTGAAGACCTGCTCTTCGCCTGCCGTCCATCGATGATGACGCCCTTCTTTGCAGAATGCCTCTTGCGTGTGCGTCCAGACAGCCTGCCGAGGATGCAGACGTGGAAGACAATTGAAAGGACAAACAAAATGATTAATAGGAGCAGGAGCGGCAGCCTTCGAAAGATGTCGGCCATGAACGACACGTAGGCAAGGGCAGTAACTACATGACGCCGGTAGACCTCCACCAAACGGTGACGAAGAGGGCAGCAAACGACAGACCGCAGCATCTGACAAATGCCCTCTAACGTTTTACGTCGCTGAGTACAGTGGGGAATCGAAAGATGGGTCGGCTAAAATATTCAATTTTGCCGAGTGTTGAAGCCCTTTCCGTTTGGCGGCATGCACTGTGAGGGAGAACACTGGTTGACGACGTCCGCGGGGGCTGGCCGGCCACCAACGGTTACCGTTGGCGTAAGGTTCCTGGAAGCTGAACGTTGACGACCCAAGATGTCCGTGCGCTGCCCGGTAGGAACTCCAATGGACCTGCCGGCGAAAATTTCTTGCGGAGGACGGGTGCCCTCGCCGCTCCGATTATTGCGGATCCTTGACCTCCGAAGGACCTCGGGAGGTACCTTGGGGAAGGGCACAAAATGGCTGTAGCCCGGGGCGTTCCCAGAGGGAATGTTTTCACTTTCTGTTTTTGTTTTTATCCCCGAGGACAGGTGGAACGATAATTTCCTCGGGGACTTTACGTGCCCGAGGAGTGTCTAACGAGCCCCTTTGTCTTTTTCACATTTGGTGAGTTGAGTGGTGCGGTGAGGCCGAATGTAAGAAAAGCGCAAATCCGGTCCGTTCCGCTTAGGGTTTTGGACAATTGGACGAGCGCTCCGGTTCCCAAAATGTCCGAAATGCGTGGGCGACCGAAATGCGTGGGCGATTTTTCACGCGCGTCTTTTTGAAACACGCATTGTTGTCCCGTTGTCTCGCTGTTACCCCCAGCTTTTCACGCTTTCTGGACACATTGTCATGTGTGTGTGTGTGTGTGTGTGTGTGTGTGTGTGAGAGAGATAGATAGATAGATAGATAGATAGATAGATAGAGAGAGAGAGAGAGAGAGAGAGA